ATTTGGGTTCTGCGAGGAATGATTCATTCTTCAGCACAGTAATCAGTGATTTATGCCAAGAATGAAAGTCGCAGATATAGCGGAAATCACAGACCAGGAACGTGAACGTTCTCCTTATGAAAGCGGCTCAGTGGGATGACTGCGAAAAATGACCCATCGCATACATCGCTATTAGTGGTGCGTAATGATTGTCACCACGATAATAACAGCACGATACGGAATGCCATATTTTTTAAATAAGCGAACGATGGAATCGAGATTGAACGACTGAATGAATGAAAGAAAATGGGAAACAAGGAATGATGAATGGAATGAATGGCTTTGATTAAATGAAAAAACAAAAGTGCGTTTTTCAGCAAAACAAAGGCTGACAGTCGGAAATAATTCATATGTTACTAAACGCTGAATCGCACTGAGACGCACTGAAGTGGTTAGAAAATTCTGTGAGTAACGAACGTTTGCAAGTATGCCGACAGAACCGCAAAAAAAAATTTCTAAGAACAAGCAAGGCGCTATCGTTTTCTCACAGTGTGGAAGTTCAAGTAGTGCTCTGTAACTTCACCACAGCTTTAAACGGTCTGCTTTCTGCCAGTGCAAAAGTCATAACTGTAGTTGCTTTTCGCAGACCAGTCCCGTCGTTTCGTCGGATGGCGAGCAACGACCGATGCGTGGGATCGCGTGACAGGGCGGAGTGCGATGGAGAATGTACATTTGAACCACTACAGTTGCTGTGAAGCACTGTACCGAGCAACGGTCGACTAGAAAATCTCTGATGAGCGGATTTGATAAACTCCATTTACCTTTTAAGACAGATGTGTCTAAAACAAGAGCACTGATCACACACCCGGGAATAAGAATTTTGCGCCACCGTCCGTTATACTTGCCATGGGAAACCTAATGTCATTTTTCCGGGTGCTGTCTGCCCCCTGAACGCAAGTCGGCGATTTGTAGGCAACACTGACGAGAAAACATCGTTTGTAAAACCAGCGAATTGCCTGATTGTAGAATTCATATTAATTCCCTGAGCATCTGAGTCTAGTCTAGCGAATTATGTTTCTACCTATAACGGAAGAATTTAAGCCGGCGTATGTACTAAAACTTACCATAGTTTCATTTGAAGGAAATGACTAAACGCCTAAACGCCTCTTTTCCTTTAAAAATGCCACATACTTTTAAGAAGATGATTTTATCTTATCTTTCCTCATCTCTAAAATAAATCTCTGTGATAACGGGGCTCTGACTCAAGTCCTGGAGAAATACATGAGACCATTGTCTGTATTGATGTCGAGTAGATGCAAAATGCAGTCGTTACCTTCTATCGACAATGACGATGCCTAGATGGACTAGGGGTCTGAGAAAACGTGTCGCTGAATCGATGGCCATAAAAAGTCTATGGAATCGGCTATGTCCTATGGTTCACGCTATTTAAGTACCAAAACTGCGGCGAAATGTGCTGCATGAAGTATTGAACGCTGCAAATCAGATGTGGCATCTGTTGTTATATTTATTTCTGGTATATCTCATGAGGTGATGCCTTGCTTGCCGACTTATTGAATCGCTCTCCTCACCGTCGGCAATTTGCACGTGGTTAAGCCTATATGGTTTAAAATGTTAAAAATGTACACCTATGTGTCAAAAGCATAAACCATACATGCGACGAGATTCTTTCGCATTCCCAGTTATGCTGAAATTAATCACCACCAGCACTATGACATCGTCATTTGTAAGGCGGTGTTTCAACTGTAGAAAACACTGTTGGTATATTCTTTTTCGTCTGTCCACTGACACCTTTTGGTATTTTGTTTTCGTGCTGAACACCGACGTTTCAGCGTTTTGCAACAAAGATTCATGCAATCTGCTTGGACATTGCCACCTCAACCTTCTGGCGAAAATCTTTGCTGATTTTTGGCCGAGATCTGAACCTGTAATCGAGATAATTTCACATTTGTAATGCCCATTTTCCGTCAGTCGATCTGGCGGACATTTGACAATATCATTCGTATTTCTCATCCGTACATTCTTTTTATGAGAATATTCGCATGTTAGTTTTTCAAAATTTCAAGAGCATTAAGTTTAACGTATTTCCCTACGACTAAGTATGGAAACTGGACTCTCATAGTACAGAGTAGATTAGTCTGTTTTTCGCTATTTTTCGCTCAATTCTAGCTTGCTTATTCTTTTCAAAGTTGTAATGTTTTCTGTGAAAGAAGATCAAAATAAATAACTGTCTCATCAGCATTGAAAGCATCCGCTGTACTGTAACCTTACACGTGCTTCGACAACAACAACTTCAAGTCCCAGTAATTCCATCGAAGTTTCGTTGGCACCTGCACTTTAATTGCTTAAATTTTTATATATGGGTCGCTAACGCGCGTTGAACCTCTTCATTGAACCGCTTAAAGCTTTAAGATCATCGGTGTTCAGTATACGGTTTGTGCTGGCAGCCTTTACCTTCAAGATTGCACTGTTGACTGAAAAGTTTTGAAAATACACTGTACATTCTTTTAGGGCTGCTGAACGATGGATTAAAATTTTTCAGCATTTTTTCTCTTCTTTGTTGCAACCCTGTTTTTCGTTTCTCAACGCAACGTCTTTTTATTTTGCGCCGTACTACATAAAGCTGACGACACCAGAGCAACGCTGCGTAAAGTAGAAATTCATTCGCTTGGGTAAACAGTTTGCTATCAGCACAAGGTAGTATTACTGTAAAATATGATACGTTATGTAACAGTCAAAGGACTCAACGCTTGGGACGTTGCGACCGCACCCTGCATACGGTGCGACGTTCCTGCTCATCTGAATTTCTTAGTGTCCTAGACAGGAGAGATAGCATTGATCTGTGGTAAACTGCTGTGCGCGCTGGAATGGCTCTGACTTTACTTCGGGTATCTGAACGCAAACGGGCTCCGCGTTTGAACTTCAGGTGCAAAAGATGGCTGTGATCGGTCAGAAACGAGTTACCACGCCGCGGCGCTACACGGTCTATCGATGAGGCCATCAGTCAGTGATTTCCTCCAGGAAAGTTGTGCTGATACCGGAAATAGGCACCACGGTTCGACGCAGAATGCAGAAAAATCTTTTCTTTACGGACCAGCGAAAACCGATAATTTCAGCAACCTCATGAGTTAGAAGAACACTTTGTCCTCTTTGATGAACAGGGAAGTCGCATAAGCAGGCAGCATTAACGATCGTTTAAGTGAACCACCAGGTTTTTAGCGGCATGATCGTTTGAGATCATTTCGTTGTCTAAACGTTATTATTCGTTATTTTTTGTTCAGTTGCCTATAACTGTCTTCACCTGGCTTTTAAAATACAGGCCATTTCGGAGTTCTTGTTACTCGTATCTGCAGTGTTGACTCGATCCACTGCTCTATTTCCATTGCGTCATCATCTAGCATAGATAAGCTACAACGTCCGTGATAGCTAAAATCATTATCGAATCATCGGCATATAGAACACACGTTGTAGGGCTGATGATCTGATAGGATTCAAATAAAAGTTGAACCGCGGTGGTGACAGCGGAGCCATGCAGAACGCGAATTTTATGTGCCGTATTGGAAGGGCGCCACCTTCCAGCACCACTGAACGGCTGTCCTTCCTGAGGAGTAGTTTGTTGGCGTCTTAAACGCGTCTGTGCAACGCAGCTTGTGGGCATGATATTAAATACCTTTGCTGCCCTTTCGTTTGCCGGTTGTTTTAGTTTTTCATCTACTTCCCGTATGATTTCTACTCTTTACTTTTCGTCGCAGTAACAGAGACAGGGCTCAAATCTGTCAATAAGACAACATCATTGGCCAAATTTGCAATGCACGCAGGTTGCGACCACTACATGACAGAGTTTGACTTGGAATATCTTAACCATGATATATAGATGACATGACCCCAAGCGTCTTGCGATAGGGTGAGACGCGATAACGGATTACGAGAGGCAAGAGGCACAGTTTATAGCACAATTTGTATTAATTGAGCGACTCTGTCAATAAATGCGGGGCGAAACTTGTTAGCATTAAATGTGAGTTATTCGCTGTATCGAGTCGCACTTCAGGAAGAAGAGTATTTGTTCTAGACGGGGCTTTGGTCGCGACCTGAAACAGTTCATTAAATACGATTTTCACTAGATGCACGAACGTTAAACCCGGTCTTTCTCTATACTTATGGTTAACGAAAGCTGGATATCTTTTCAGGTAGCGCAGTGTGCGGTCACTTATGTGTTGATTGATGCACGAAACGTTGAAACCAACCAGTCGGTGACGGTTTGTGCGAACAAACAGCTTCGACACGTGCCATACGGACCCGTAAGGAGGGACGTGTCAGCTGAGGACTCGAATTTGATAAATTTCTATTATAGCAGCAAACATATCAGCGCTTAGCGTACTGGAACCCGAGGAACACGTCGTCGGTGCGAAACGCGACCGTCTATACCGGCAGTTTCGCAAACGACTACTCGAAAGGATGTCGTCCGGT